GGTTATGAAAATAAATCGGTTAGAACAGTGCAGTAATAAAAATAGGCAAAGAGAAGTTTGAAACAAGAGAAATATTTTCGTGCAATGCGGACACCACAAAATGACCCATTACGTCACGAGTAAAAATTACGTGGAAGGGGAAAATTAATGAATGAAACAATTCAAAACAGAGGGGAAATTCTTAATCATTTAGTAATTGATATTTCACGAAAGGAATTACTGTGATATTTTCATTAAAAAAAACACATCCCATATACACTTAAAATTAAACACGTATTAAATAAAAAAAATAGTCTCAAAAGGGTAAAGTAAAAAACATTTTCCACTTAAAGTTCTGCACTGATGAGGCTATCTCAAAAAAAATAAAAATAAATAAATATACTAACGATGATATTCACCATGTTATCATTTCTGATGATATTTTGAGAAAATTGAGAGTTCTTCTTCACAAGTACAGCAGAAATTACCATCAGCAGAGGGTATCCACTCGCCACTTACCTTGAAGGCCTCGCCACAGCGTATTTTCTTCTGCCTAAGCTTCTCTAGCGAGGGTGGCGCCACAAACACCACATACGGCTTCAGGTCGGAGCTCCGGAGTATCTTCAGCGACTGTGGATGGAGGTTCAGGACGCAGATCTTTCCCGAGTTGACGACGCCGCGAATCGCGTCGAGGGAAGTTCCATAGTAAGCCTTCTCGTATTCTCCGTGTTCGACGAACTTGCGAGACAGGATGTCTGCCTCAAACTGCGCCCTTGTGATGAAGTGGTAATCCTGGCCGTCTACCTCCCCCTCTTTCCTTGACCGACTAGTGTCTGCAACAGAAGACAGAGCGCTTCATCGTGCTGTGAGCAAGCGTACTGAAATATTTAGAGGAGACCTCTTTACGGCCCACTACTGATTCTCTCTTTCTTTGCTCAACCCTGTGAAGTCAAAGTTGATTTAAATAGGTTGAAACTTTATTCGGATTGCGGCGAAAATTAGAAAGATAGGCAAATTCAAAGATAAAAGCAAAAAAGCAGTGTCTTGTGACAGACTTTTTTTACAAGAATTAAGCGATATCATATGTTGAGCTAATGCCGTAAGTACAATTAAAAAAATACATTCTGAACATTTAAAATTTCACTGAGGCTGGGGTGTAATGCAACCATGAGAGTGGGTTTCAAAAGATTATTATTATTGTCATTAATTCCTAATTCAAGCAAACCTACAGTAGCTAGATTATGTAAGTAAATAGATTACACTGTCAGTAAACGTAAAGTATTGGTGCCCTTCCCTTTGAGCTGATCCATGCAAGTTTAATTTAGTGAAAACAAAAGTTGTAAAAATTTAATTTACCCTTTTGATTTTTCTTATCAATAATTTCCTTTTTGGGAAGGGCTCCATAATACTTTACAATTACCACATTGTCATTACAACACAGTATGAAAGGATATTTTCCCCTTTCCCTCTATCTTGGACACCTCTGTAAGTTGGACAAATTTTCGTGGAACCCCAAGTGTCCAACTTAGAGAGGTTTTACTGTAATTTCAAAATTCAGTCCGTACCTGAAAGAAAACACAACTGCTCGATGATGTTTAAGGAAACGATCCGTTTAAAGCGAGAACCGTACAAAACCCATTAATACGCACTTTGAACAAAATGCACAAGTACTGAATATCGAAGTAGGCAGAACATGCAGTTTACCACAAGCTGGCCAAAAACACATTTAAATAAACACCTGAATCAGGAAACTGACAACGCGGGTGCACGTATAAATACAGAGCAGAAACGACGCTTAAAATCACTTAAAAGTACTCTTACGCGACGACTTACGTGGGATAGCGGCGGCAAACCTCTCGGCATCTTCCATCAGCCTCTGTCTCAGTTCGTGCCTCCCGATGTTAGGTGGGCCGATGAGAACGATAGGTCTCTTGTGATTTGCTCTCGGATAATAGAGCGACACCTCCTCGTACGTCAGTATCTCGTCCACGTCATAGTCTGTAAATGCGAAAGATCTTTTAATGACACTCCACCTGTTTATGAGGCCATTTCAATAAAATATAAAAGATTACATCTAATTTTGTTTGATGGCAATGAACCAGTAGCACTCGCTGCGAGTTCTACGCTACCTACAACACGATTAACAGCACTGACCATCGATTGTGCTAGTAGCGTACAGTGGGTATCCTCCATCATTATAGGCAACGTTGTACGGCGCCTTTTTCTTTTTCTTCTTTGGATTCTTCTTCGCGCACAACAACGTGCCGGCCTTCTTTGATTTCTCTTTCGATGTTTTGTCTCCTGCTATGGTCTGTTTCATAGACTCTCGCCTGAAAAAATGAGACATAACGGGCCACGTCAATTGGTTGTTAAACCTGAAGACGAAGGAAGATTACTAATAACACAGATGACTATCGACAAGCACATTCCTATGCCAGCTCAATTCAATCCATGATTCCAGACTCTATTTCAATACGGTTCTCCCGCGTCGATCTCAAACGTTTGCTTCAAAAATGCTTTAAAATCAAAATGTGGAATGCGCTTTATATTCCTCCGATCAGAACTTCGTGTCCAGCGCGCTGAAACTTGCCGCGACATGGAACTGTTACCTTTCTTTTAAATTTTTACAAATAAAAGTTTAATCCGATCAGTGTATTGGATTTAACAGAACAGACGTCTTCCATTTTTAGCTGAAGACAAAGAAAGATCCACCCGTCAAAATTTAGTGACTTTAATTTTTTTTATTTATTTTTTTTTAAAAAATGACAGTCCGAAAACAAATTCAAGAAATAATAGAATATCATCTTGTAAGATTTTCAGCGAAGAACGTAAGTGACATTTCCTGTAAATCCACTTGAAACATCAGACCACAGAGAGCGGAACGCGGGGAAGGACTTGGCGGAGGCGAAAGAACACGTCTGTCCACGTTACACTTACTGGTGTTGGAAGGAGCGGCTAGGAATGAGCCCGGCCAACGTCTGGTCTTCCTCTCCCTCGCGGTAAGCTTGCCACCAGTTGGGATCTTCCTGACTTATCACGTGCAACACGTCGCCTTTCTGAAAACTGATACCCAACTCCCGACACGGGATGTACAGGTCTTCCTCTGGGTCGTAGTCAAAGTGCGCTTTCATGTGCATCTGTAAACGTAACAAATCAAACAATTAATGTCTCAGCGGACACATCTCTTTCATATCGTTTAAAATGATGATGAACTACCAAAACTGGATTATCAGATAATTAATTCCTGAAGTCATGCCCTGGTCAGATCAGATGTACGACGAACGGCGTGTAAAAACACCATGGGGTCCCATTTGTAGGAATTTCACACTTTCGGTGCTGCATGTAATAAAGATTAAATTACACCTTACTGGAACTTGGTACATGATAAAGCACGAACATTCAGAATGCTTACGAGCGTGTCCCTGGTAGGTGGGGGAGGAGGCCTTGACACAGCCTCAGGCACGATGAGGAAGGTCAGAGTTCCCGTCATGCCCGACAGAATATCACACACGTCATTCACCGATTTGCCCCGCATCTCAATGCCGTTGACTTCCAGCACCTCGTCTCCTTCGTGGAGCAGGCCGCTCTTCTCGGCAGCTCCTCCTCGCACTATCCGACCGATTATCACAGCGTCGCCTTCGTTGCGAACGGTCGC